TTCAGTCGCCCTATATTTTTTTTATAAAAAAAATGATAATTATCTTGGTCTTTTACTTTTCATTTTAATATGTTCCTAGCTAGCTCTTCTTTAATTAATTTAGACGTTAATTATATCAGAATTAATAGAGTCAGTTCTCTCGATCCAACTTGATGAGCATTGATGCCACTCTGTCTTTACTACGTTAATAAAATAAACTAAGAATGGAAATGGAACAGGTCACTGGAATTAATATGTTAACAAGAAAAGAACAATGTAATTAGAATTATAAATAAGGTTACGTTTTATTAATTAAAAGTTGGTGATCTCTTGTTTTGCTTATCCCAGTAAACATAATTTTGGAGAAAACTCTCTTAATTACAAATCATTTTCTTTTAAAATATTTTACCTTTGAGAAAACTTATGGTACATATTGGAACGTTATGATGTGCTCTTACTATCACCAAGAGTGTATTTTTTCTTATGTTTAGGCCTTGAGATTTTAAATTTAAAAAAGTATCATACTCAAAAGGACATAATAATTTGAAGATTAAATGTTTCAAAACTGTAACAATCTAAAATCTATATTTTATGTGAAAACTCTCAACTTTTATAGAGAATTTATATATATTTATATATTTTAAATTATATATATAAATAATAAATTAAAAATTAAAAAGTGACGTTAGTCACCTGTCACCATTTTGGTGTTGTCAATAATCATGGGGTATTCCGTTAACCATGATAATGGCAGTACTCAAAAGGACATAATAATTTGAAATTAAATGCTTCAAAACTCTAATAATCTAAAATCTATATTTTATGTGAAAACTCTCAACTTTTATAGAGAATTTTTTTATGTGAATTAGTCTCTTTTTTCATGTGAAGTTTTCAATTGATAAATAATGCTTTAAAATGATTTATATATAAAAAAAACTTTTACATGGTGGAGGTGGAGCTATTCTTGCTCTACATTTCTTTTGGTATAAAACAATGACTTCATTGAGTTCAGTTTAATTAGTAAGTTATTCTTCTCTGTTGTTAAATTCAATTTTGCAGTTGCGGGTTTGGGAAAAGGGTTGGCCATGGAGTGGAGCAGAAGGAGAGAGCACAGACTGATGTCATGCTCGTCTATCCCAAGGAAATGTCACTTTCAACACATCGGTTATCCAGTGATGTCTCACTGTCCCCCAAAAGCTAACCCAAATTTCAGAGCTATTGGCTCTTGACATTGACACATGATCTAGCTCGAAATTTTTGCCATATATGGTTTCCACCAGAAAACACAAAGAAGGGAAAAAAATTGCCTTACAGAATTCAATCATTTGAATGCAATCATTTCTGTGGTCTAACCTTGCAAATAAGTTAGTTGCAGTTTAGCTTAATGAGTGTTAATCTTTACACAATTACCCTTACTTTCCATAATATTTTCTTAATCTCAAGATTCATTTGGAAATCTTATCTTGGCCTTAAGAAAGGATGGGTTAAAATAAAAATGAAAGGAAGGAAGTAGTAAAGAAGGATAAGAGTGTAATTTGATAGCATCAATTTTTAAAATAATGTACTAATTATTAGAATCTTATATCATTTTATCTGATATGATATGAATCTTATATAATTAATTATATTAAAAATATATAAAAATTGAGATTATTAATAAAATATTTATTTATTCTCTCATGTTTTATAAATATCTATTTCTTTTATTTAACTTATTTTTATGTAAAAGTCAAGATAATTAATAAAATAAAATATTCCATCACTTTCCTAATTATTTACATAATAAATTTCAATTTTTTATTAATTCCCAATTACTACAATACTATTAATTTTCAATTATTTCTCTATGTTTTGAATGATTTCCAAAAATTCTTTGTTTTAACTATTTCTTCTATTTCCAATCAACTAATAATAAAACATGTTTAATGATCTCCAATAACTATTTTTATATATATATAATTAATTATTTTTTTAATTTATAATATCTAATTTTGAATTCTTTTTTCTTCATTTGCTTTAAAATAATGTTAACAATTCTAATAAGTGATGTTTCAACAGAAATAAATTTTTTAAAACTAAAATTAATAAAATCTTATATAAGATCAACAATGTTTTAAGAAAGAGTAAATGGATTGACTATACTATCAAATGAAAAAGATATATTAAGAGAATTTGTTTATAAAAGTTTAATTAAAAATTTTGTATCTCAAAAAGCTAGAAAAATATAATTTTGACAATTTTTTTTAATTTTAATAAAAAATATTTTATTTAAATATTTAACTTTAAGCCTTTAAAGTTATTAAGCTGCCTCTGATAAAGAAAGATAAGAAGTAGTTTGATAACATCAGTTTTTAAAATAATATACTAACTATTAGAATCTTATATCATTTTATCTGATATGATACTTAATCTAAAAGTTTCACATTTTCTTTTATTTTGTTTTTCAAGCACTATTTGTTGGTGTGTGATTAAGAAGAATTAAATTTCAATTCAGCTTTGAATTGATAAAAAAAAAAATCAATGCTTAAATCAAATATTTGCATATATATAAAAAGAGGGTAAAATACTTTTACTTTTTTAAGTTTTGATCGAGATTACATAAATATTCATTAATTTTTAAAATAGATACTTTATTTAAAAAAAATTTTCTGTCAAACTCGTAAGTCCAACCGTTAATATTTCTGTTAACTTGCTAACATGATAAAAATAAAAAAATAATTTTATCTTTAATTAATATTTAAAATTACTATTATATAATTTTATTAATTTTTTATTAATTACAAAAAAAAAAACCCTTAAGATGGGGAGTATCAAGCTCCCCCTCGTTGGGAGGGGAGCGCCAGATTGATGTTTTTTTTTTAATTTTTTTAAAATATAATAATAATTTTTTAAATTAATAAAAACTAAAAGAACATTTTAAATTTTTTTAATCTCTATTAACGATGTCTATATTTTTTGAGTGAAGTGTTTATTTTGAAAACCAATGAACCTGTTTGAAATTTTAATTAAAAGTTAAGGAGATTTACCCTAAAAAATAAGTATAGAGAAAAGTCTTAAAAATTAATACTTAGTATTGTGTTAATGTCAAACAATAAGTTCAACCGTACACATCCATGTTTGATTCTTAAGGTCATTAGTCATGGGCACATGTTAAGAAAAAATATATAATCCCCAAAGCTTCCGTCAACCTCGTGACAGAGGAAGGCTTTGATTCATTCAAAAGTAAAGTTTCTTGAATATTGTTTCGTTTTTCTCCTTTTGTAAAGTTTGACCCTTTTGTCTAATTATACAACTAATTTATTTCCAAGTTGTTAAAGCTAACTAAACCCTTGAGAGTATCAATCCCCGCTTTATTACACCACAGTATTAACTTTTTTTTTTTTTCGGTTTGGTTCTTGCTAAAGCGAGTAAAACTTGACAAATTAAATAAAACCAACTTGATTTTCAAGTAAAGTATGCTATTTTACCTTATGGTTAGACGGTCTAATTAAGTGCTCATAAATGATATGAAGATAATAAATAATAAAATCATCAAAATTTATTTCTCATTAAGTAAAAAAAATTAATAGAATAGCGAACATTTTTGACATTATTCGTTTTAGGAATTTAATTAGACGACATGTACTTATTGAAATGGCAATATTATTATAAAGCTTAGGGAAGTGACAGAACAACCGTGACACTGGCCCATCTTTGTGTATAAACATTTAGACAGCTAAAAAGATTGTTACATTCTCGTTGTTTATGGGCCGTTTATCTCTGTAATTCCCTTTCCCCACTTATTTTTTTGGTTTTTTCATGAACAAAATCATGAACACTGGGGCTTGGTCATTACCATTAAGGGTAGCAATATGAATAGCATGTTGTTTACATGTTTATTTCCTGTTAGATTTGTTTATGTTTAAAGTTTTTTTATTTTCACTCAAAATTAACTTAAAAAGTCATGTTGTTTCAATTTTTAGTCAAATAAGTTTGTATCATATTTTTAGTAAATCATTAGACGAAAAGTCATTATTATGATAATCTCAGCACACAAAATTTTATGTCACCAATGTAATGAGAATTTAACTTGAAAATTAATTAAACTTTTTTATTTTTATAATTTGAAATTTAACTTGAACTTCATTAAATATTTATTTTTTAAAATCTAAACACAACTTTTTTTAAAAAAAAAAAGCTCAGAAGACCTAGAAGCCAAAGAATTGCAATGGTAAGTCTAATAGTTTTGTATTCATGATTAATTTTTTGGCTCTTGTTTTATTGCCTTAACCAGCATAATGCGGATGATGATCGTTTACCGTTACGAGAAAGATTAAGACATGAGTTTGTCTTTTATATATATATATATTTATATATTAAATTAATTTCACTGAAACCCAAGAACCAACCCAAATTATCCTTCTTTTTAGTGTGTGGTTGCCTTTTGGGCAATGGAAATCCTTTTCATCCATAAACTGTTAACTAGAAGGACAAAGTCTTGTTTGGCTATCAAAAATGTTTCTCCAAAGAAAAGTGTCCTCAGCAATTCAACATCATAGTAAAAAACATTTTATCTCATTTGTTTGACAGGACGTCCATTCTTATCATCAGAGTCTCTCCATTTCTTTTTCAAAACCCCTATTCCAACGGTACATCTTCATCGCATATGCTTTTTTCTTGGATTTTTTTTTATCAAATTTCAAATATCTTCAACGGTACATTTTCCCAATTTTCCTTTTCTTGCAATTTAAAGCTAATCCTATTTTGTATTTGTTCAGTTAGTTGCCCACCCAGCTATACGTGGATTTGGGTCCACAAATACATACAAAGTCAAAGAGAAGGAGAGATGAAAATGACCATCAGCCATAAAACGACTATTCTCATTTTGTGTAAAAATTATATAAATTATAAAGCACGACCATTTCAACTTAACTTGATCGATAAGTAGAACAAGATTCCATAGGTTTGAACAAATTGAAAAAGCTTGTTGAGTAAAGAAGACAGACAAATTTTGGACTTAATTTCTCGAAGATTGTAGGAAGCTAAACAACCATAAATTGTCATTCATAAACTTGGAAATAGAGATCTCATGAGCAAAGGTTGATCAAGTTGTATACATATTTATAGGGAAAACCTAACTATGACTTGCGTGTGAATTATATTACAAAAATATGAAAAAGTGACCTTGTTAGCAAAAATAGGCAAACAAACTTCGAAATCCCCCAGGATTACAGTAATCCTGAACAGAGAAACTAGTAAAAGAAGGGAGCTCCATCGACTTTTGCAAATTATTCCCACATGGAAGTTCCAAAGCTGCCTGGGACTAAATTCTCTGTTGCCCATGTCTGATCACAGAATCCTCCATAGAAATCTTGTGGCGGATACGCCCACCCATCAACTGAGTCAAGCAGTATAAACTCGTTCCGTGAGTCAAATAGCGAGTCGAAATTCCCTTCTATATTTGGTAACTGAACAATTTCACTCAGTTCCGCAGGTTCTTCCGACGCATTGGACTCTGACAAAGATGACGATTCGGACGATGAAGAAGATGATGATGATGGAGTATCGAAATTGACCATTGCAGCAGCTTTAGCTGCAGCAGCTTGAATGTCGCGGGGCAGTAATGAAACTGGTCTGGGAAGCAACTCGGCAAGCTCAGGGAAGTTGAGAATAGCCGAGTCACCTTTGATGCTCAAAGCAGCTACATCCTGCGCACGCGCTGCCATTTCTGGGTTAGGGAAAGTACCAAGCCAAATGCGAGATTTCTTGCGGGGTTCACGGATTTCGGACACCCATTTGCCCCAGCTCCTCATTCTGACTCCCCTGTAGACTGGATGCTTGCTGCTTGAATCTCTTGGTTTTTTAGCTCTGCTATCTTCAGGGGATTGAGCGGGATTGGTCTTCCTGGACAAGTTCTGGCGAGTTTGTGAAGAAGAAGATGCGGAGGAGTTGGAGTTATTGCTGCTGCAGCTCTCAACTTCTGATGATGAATGGTTTGTCTCTGTCATTGTCTTTAAAAAGAGTGACCCAAATTATTTTGGTAATTGTAATGGCGCAACAAGGCTAGAGAAAAGAGAGAGAGTAATGTAGAATATATATAGAGAGAAATGGGTTGGTTTCTGTGATGATAGAAAGAGGACGCTCTCTCCAAAGTGACCCTTAACCTACCATTATTTGATTATGACAAAAACTTGCAAACAAAAATGCACGAATAGTTTAGGAATATGTGAACCAAGGAGAAGCTTAGCAGTAACTTTGGTAAATAAATAACCTGCAACAACCCGAAAGAAAGACAGAGAAGGGAACGAGTGTGGGACCCTGGAGAATGGGTCATCAGCTATGGTGAAGGTGGGTTCCACACGTACATACAGATACAAGTGTCTCTTTGCAACGTCTGGAATTGAAACTGTGTCGTTTGCCGCCACTGCTGGTAGTCCACGTCTCACAAAATCCATTTTTCTTCTTCCCTGTTTTCATCTTTTTCAAAGCCACATGATGGTGACTCCTATCATTGCCATTTCCACCGTTGCTGAACGTTTCTATTCTCTCAAATCACTCAAGTTTCATTTATGTTTTATGTATAACCCGTCCCAACTTGCTTTCATTTCTCTTAACAAAACAAGACGATTTCAATTCAATTGGTTTATGAATTTACTTTCTCATCCACTATATTTAGTATCCTTGCTTTTAAAGTATTAACTTTTCAATATCTCCTAAAGGGTATCTATCAAGCATTTACAGCTTCAAATTCTAATTTATAATATTGAGTCTGAATCTTGAAATGGAAAGAGTAGAGTCTGTGAGATAAGCCAAAGTTTTTGTTATATATATATATATATTGTTTTAAATCCCAATTAAAAAATATTTACTTTCAATGAGACATGCTTAATTGTAGGATAAATGCATGGTATTAGTAAAATCTAATTTATTTTCTATTTTATCATTATAAACTTTGTTCTTATAATTAAGTAGCTCAGAAGTTGACACTTGAGAGCTAACCCCTTCAAGGCAATAAAGGACAGTACCGATTTTGTGATTCCGATGGCCAAAATAGCTAAACATTGTACTATCAGCAAAATTTTCCTTTTCTCATTGGTTTTTTGGCTTTGTGATCAAAGATCAACCAATTCATACCCTCCTCTAATGACACTAAAATTCTAGAGGTTCAAATATTTACTATACATGTTATCAATGCTAAACAAAAAAAAAAGTAACAAATGACAAAATACAATAACTCCTTTTTTGTCTAAAGATGAACTCTCTCTCTCTTTCTCTATATATGTGTGTGTGTTGAAAGGAACATCAAAATGTGATATTGAAGTCTGTCGTAATTGCGAAGTGACAGACTTAGTGCGACATTACATTAAAATACAATGATTAAAATATTTAGTTTAGAAGTAGAAGTTGTTATCCCCAATTTCTTCTTCTTTTTTTTCGTATGACAAATTAATCCCTTCTTAGCACGCATAATCAAAATTTAAGATTAAAATAAAGAAGTTGGGCAATTCATTGCCCTTGGCTGACAGCAAGGAGTTTGTACACTGATTTCATCAGACTGCACCGTGGCAAACGAAACAACTCAGAGATTTCATTTATGGGACCCTTTCTTTGACTATTGAGATTTACTTCATCATCAAAAAAACACACACAACAGATCAAAGATATTTTTTGTCTCAAAAAATTGAGTATTTTATATATTTTGGCTTCTCAATTATTTGACTCTCATTAAACTATGTATCTAGTTTTTTTATCTAGGAAAGAGAGAAATTGAATTTACGCTTTTAATACCAAAGCATATATCATCAATTATTCAATTAAAAGTTTGGATGTGATCTTTGTATTTATTATCTATTAATTAATAGAGAGTATCTGTTTTATGCTTAATATATGTGACTAATCAACACTTGTTTGTTATTTAATTTAGCAGTCCCGGAAATTTATTTGTACGTTAGTATTTCACTTTCTGACCAGATTTCTGATTATGATATTTCTATATTTAATTCACCAATATTAAGTCCCCCTTTTTATTCCTTTAAATATATCACTCAAACCCTAATCATGCATATGTTATCAAATCAAATGAATAAAAAGAGAAAGCCAAGGTTTAATTAGCTGTATGATTAGCTCTTATATAATGTGTATCATATGAAAAGAAAAATATATCACAATTTTGGAAATAAAGTAATTTTTTATATCAGAATTTCGTGTCACGTGGCTAAATTATATGGATCGATGTTGCCTTAACAGCTACTTGATAGAAGGAGAAGAAAAAAAAACAAAAGAAGAAGAAAATAATACTGTTATTTTTATTTTCTTAATGAATATTCCCTATCACATGGCTTATGAATTTGAGGTAGGTGTGGCTTTTAGACCAAGGTTGAACTGTTTTCTCAATTTTCTTGCACATGATTACTGAAATAGAGCTCTAACTTTTAGACCCATGTTGCAATCTATAATACTAAAAAAATATGGAAAATGTTAAAATGTTCAAAGTTTCTCTGGAATTTCTTGGAGAGGTTAATAAACTTTCTTAACAAGAAAAATCTTTGCTCAATTTTTAATATTTTTTGTCCCTAACTAAACAATGGAAGGTATAATGGATTAGGTAATATGATTTAATTAAATTAAAATTTACCTGGTTGACCTCATACTTTTGGTTGCTTATTAAGTCATTGCTTTATGGACATAAAAATTCTCAATTCTCCTACGTTTTTTGCTTTTATTAAAGGAGTAGGTCAGACGAGAAATACATGGTCCTTAATTCCCCTTTCCATGGAGGCCGTATTTGATTTCAGCTTCTAATTTTACTGACTAGAATTGGCTTCTGTCACCATATTTATGAATCTACTAAATATGAGATATGGCCACTGAATTAGAATCAGCTTTGCAAATGGGGAAACCAATCATGAAAAGCCACTGTTAATCTCTTACCAGATGCCTCTGAGATATCACATGTGTTTCATCCATCTATATATATATATATATATATTATGCATATGGAGATTACATTCACAACGTAATTTTGGTTTGAAAGATTGCTAGGATTTTCAACCAAGCTAGGACCTCGGAATATTCTGGCATTCCTGGATTTCTTCTTCTCATCGTCTTATTACTCTCTCAGGATTATTAATAAATAGAAAATTTAAGGATAAATGCGACCCACATGGTTTTCATTTTTCACCTTCAGCTGCCTCATTTTGACTAGTAAAAAGTTATGCACTACTATGCCATTTGAAGCTATGTCGTAGCTCGTAGGCACCACCACCCGCGGCCCCGCCTTCCCTTTGCAGTATGAGTGTCGAGGGCATGTGCCAAAAAAAGGCCCTGGAATTAAGTGATGGTATAAAAAGTTGATTGAACTTTCTTTTGCACTATATAAGAGGTGAAGTTGAATCATAAGTTTCACGTTAGATTCTGCCCATGCGCTTGTTGCTTTATCTTTTTTTCTTGAAAAAGTTCAGTGTCTTCGTCTCTTCTATTACTTCTCCACGTATCGATCATTGTCCTTTGCACGTACAAGACTTCATTATTAATTATTCACCTTTGCGCATGTGAAAAATAACTAGAGATCCATTAAATTAGGGGACTAGCAATGGGCCTCTTTGAGTCCCTGCTCTCTGTAGGGCTGAGTCTAAGCTTGCCCTGGCAGCAGAACAATACATCTCAAATAAAGTCTCAATCCAGACTGCAGTTCGGCTCACCTCGACTCGCATTAATTGCTTTATTGGGTTTATTATACACCCAAACAAGTTTGGGCTGATCTAGGAACCAAGTCCAAATATCCTTTAAATCATAAAAGAATGTGTTTTTTTTTTTTTTACTTTATCAAAATCCGCAACGCATGAGAAAAAGCATTAAATAGAGTTGCAAATTATTCAAGGGATCATTACGTCATTCAAGCGATGCGTTGCCCAATTGAAACACCACAGAAAACTTTGGACATCAATGCCAATTGAAACACCAAAATAAGTTGAACAGATCAAAAGATTTGTAATGAAGAGTCAGAAAATTTATAGAGTTCTTTTTTTAAATGATTTTTATGTATAAGGCATTTTTTATAATCAATTTATTTATAATTTTAATTATTTTTAGTTAAGAGAATTAAAATTTAGATAAAATTACCATTAATGAAATTGATCTATATGTTTGGTCTCGTACCTCAACTCGAAACTTATTAATAGGTCAAGTATATTTAGGTCTGTATTTCAAACTGAGTCATATTTTTTGGGCTTTTCTAGTCAACTATTTATTTATGGAGTATTATTTACCAAAAAAAAATATTTAAGCATTTTGAGCATTTTGGAGTAGTTTTTGATACACGAAGAAAATCTTTTAGCGTTTTGAGCATTTTTAAGTATTTTAAAGTAATTTTTGAGATATGAAGAAAAACGATTGAACATTTGAACATTTTTTGTCAAGTAAGTATATTCGTTAATTATATTGTTAAATGAAGTATGGTATATCGTTTAAAGTTATTGATCTTATTAAATAGAATTCAGTAGTTTTGGTAGTTTTTAGCCATTGTGTAATCAGTTGTTGAGCATTGTGTGATTAATTTTTAGGTATTACGTTACTGACTTTGAGTATTATGTGATTAATTTTTAAATATTGTTGACTGACTTTGGCTAAAACAAAATATTTTTTGAACAATTAAGAATCAAAATCCCATAAAAAGAATCAAAATCCCCAACAAATATACTTTACAATCATCCCAATCTCAAACACAACAAAACCGTAAACCACCATAAAACCTATCAAACATGCTTTAACTGTTTCTTCTTTCTGAGCCTATCATCTTAACTAATCTGATACAGCTCATCAACATAGGCATATCCATCATAGCACACGTTTTGAAGCAAGTCATCATCAAAAAACATCTAGTTACCATATTCATCATGCTGCCTGCAATCACCATAGAAGAATAAAATCACTATTCATTACCATTAAAAACCCCAAGATCCACCATCCAAAAAAATAAAATAAAATAAAAAAGATCTTGATGTCATCTCTGCTCTTTAGATGGTAAGATAAACAATATTTGATCAGAAAGAAAAATTGAGATTTAATTTTGAAAATTTTATCTAGATGGCGACATAGAGAAAATTGAAATCATTTTAATTTGTTTGAAATTATTTAAAGGGTATTAT